GGAGAGGCAGGGGTTGCTGAGGATGAGGCAGGGGTTGCTGTCCCCGAAATGGGTGCAAGGAAGTCATGTTACTACGAGGTACGGGGTGGCACAGCTCGTGGTCTGAAGTGTCAACGTATTTACACACACGTGAACCATATGTGAGGAAAGCGAGGAAAGTCACTTGTGCGATGAAGAGGTCTCATGAAGGGTCACGTAATGATGTCCGGTGTGATGTGGTCAAGCGACGGTTATCAGCATGTTGCGCTTTGTGGTGGCGTGTCGTGATTTCATATATTCTCCTGTGGGTGATTGGTGATGCGGTGACGTGTGGGCGCTGTGGGGCCTTCGGCATTTTCAGGCCGGTCAGTACAAGATGAGCATTTAGTTGTGAAACGCGTGGTGGTTTGTGATGTGATGTCGTGTGATGCCGGTGATGCAGTGCCACTCGCCAATTTGCCTATATAATTACGATAATTATGTGGTGAAGTGAAGGTTCTGGTCATTGAGTCTATGAAGTGGTCGTGATTTCTGATGTGGAGAAGTGTAGCGTGGTGATTTATGATGTGACGTTGCATACATACTTTTCTTTGCAACTCTCTCCGTTGTGACCTTTTCTGTGGAAAATCAGTCCCTGAAATGATCACAGAAGTGGAAAGTAAAGGAAAATGATCATCCAAGGAGCAATTTTCCACTTGATTGCTCCAGGGAGTGTAAACAGCGCACACACCAGATGGGCTCGGGGGTGGCAGTGAGGAGTGGGTCGCCGAGAAAATTGAAGGGAAAGATTGGGAAAGATTGTGGGACAAGATCTGGCCCTGGATCAGATCATGTTGCACGTCTTGAAACTGGATTTCACCGTGTATGTAGGCGTTTGCTTACTCATTCTGTTCAGTGATTGGGCGCAGTGATGGGGCTCATGTGCAAATTCTTGGTCCTATAGCAGGTGCTTGTCCACCAAAAGAACTTGCGGGTGCTTTTCGAGATTTGCAGCACACATGACCCAACGCCAGATATTGATGGCAGCCACTCATCACCCCACCCATTCGAACGGCAAATGTACATAAGTGATACATATAAGATCATATAAGTTGAAAAGATATGTCAAGATTCAAGATGTGTCAAGGCGGACTTCACCATTTTGCTTCCAAGTCGAACATGAATGAACATCGACAACAATGACGTTTAGCCGCTTAGCCGATGCCAGCCGCCAAGGCTGGCGGCCTCCGAAAAACGCCTCCGTTCATCCACGAATCCGTTGGACACGGAGAATTCCACGCACCCGAGACATCCCGAGACCAGAACATGTGATACTCTGCCCTGGAAGTGATAATCTCATATGGAAGTTGAGTTAGAGAGGGAGTGTAAACAGCTGAAGTCCAGCTCTTTGGTCCACCGCTCTCAGCCAAGGCACTGTTTTTCAAGTCACGGCATCTCGTCCGCAGCGAGGGGCGGACTACGTAGAGCAGTTGTTGGCACTGCTTGTTCTGAACCCTTTTGACTTTGGATTGCCACCATTTTTCTTTGTTTACTGTGCATGTTACACACTACCAATCAAGGTAGTTTCACATGGCTATGATGAAGTACGTGTGCATCACCAGCACTGGACCCATGCATTGTTGGGTGCGCTGGACCCATGCAGCATGGATGTGAGTCCTTCAAATCTGGCTTTTGATTGTACGGATCTCACTGAAGCAGTAGTACCAGCTTGCGACCGAACCAGGTTGCACTGTCATAGCGGGCATGCTTGTGGCAGATGCAGATCGGTTCGGAGGAACACATCCTCGCTGAGCGGTGGCACATCCGTGCTCAGCGGTCGCCGGTGTGTAGAGTCTACACACACACACTTCCATCATTCATGCTCCATGTTGGGCACGTGTCGGTTTTCACAGGTGTCATGGATGAATCTTCTATTTGCAGGAGAATCCTTTGTTGTAGAGTTCACTCATAATCATGCGGCAACCTCTGCATGAAATGTAGGACACATGCACGCATGCAGAACAATTGTGCCGTGCCCCAGCAGCTGCATACAGCGTATAAAGTGGTCAACTGGGTTTGGATGAATAGAAACGTGGTTGGGGGGTTTAACTGACTTTCACATACAATATGAAAATAAGTTGGTGTATGTGCGGTGGTAGAGGGAGGGCTGCCCAACAAACTCAGTGGTCTTCGATAGGGCAGGGCCAGAGTATTTTGGAGCTTTTGGGCTCAACTCCAGGTGCGTGACCCAGATTACGACGATGTCCAGCTTCTTAGCGACCTGGCTGGCTATAGCGCAAATCAGCGGCTGGCCAGCTTTCTTGAAGTCAAGGATTTCTAGATTCTGGCTAGACACTAGCCGTGTCATGCTGTGTCATGCTGTATCTAAAATCATGTCAAAAGTTCTTGATTGCCTCCATACCCACTCCATACCCATTGTATGTATTCCATACCCACTCCACTCCTGCCTCCGCCCTTTCCCAGGGCTGCAGTCCGACGGTCCCCTGGACCGCGCCCGTCCGGCCGGACCGCCCGCGTCGCGCCGGTCCGGTTTCCGGGCCCGGACCAAGCAGTGGCTTGGACCGAAGGGAGAGCGACTGGGTGGTGGTTGGGTGACCGGTTCCTCCAGAGGGAGAAGGCCAAGGCGGCCAAGAGCCAAGAGGCTGTGTAAAGCCCAGTCACTGAAGTCACTGGAGTTGGGAGATTGAATCTTTCTTTTCTGGAATGCCTCGATAGATTGAGGGTGCAGAGCACTGCTCGGAGCTGCGCACTGGAATGGATGGATGGATACAACAAGAAGGAATGGATGGATGCGTGCATGGTGGAGGTGCCTGCGGCTACCCTATTGACAGGCGTCCCAGACACATTCGCTACTAATTATATAGTAGCTTCTAGCTACTAGTAGCGATGCCCTTGTTACTAGTGGCGATGCACTTGTTATGGCCCAAGAACCGGCTGCCTAATTTAGAGGGCATTGCGTCGGGTCCACCCGCCAATGCAACCACGGTTCGTTTGTGTGTCGGTGCATCGCGCAGCAGAGCCGACTTGCCAAGAGCCATGCTGCAGAAATGTAACAATATGCACTGGCTTCCATTTGAGGAGACTGCTGAAGGCCTGGAATGACTCCTCACCTGGGCCCATGCTAAGTCGAGGCCACCACGAAGGCACTAAGTAACATCAAATGTGCACCTTGGTACTTTGTGCCATAGCGTAGTGTACCAAGGTTGGATGATGATGGTGCCGAAGAATGCATAGCTGACACACATGAAGCTTGGCTGGCAAGCCCCGAAGAAACATGAAGAAACCGTGTGTAAACGGCCCAAATGCCGTTAGCATGTCTCGGGTCTGGTTCAGAAGGCGTTGCGGTGACGTCCCAATGTTCCGACCCTGCCAGCTTTTCTCACGAGCCACTCGCCATCAGTGCAGGAGTTGATCGGTTTACCCGATGGAGATCACGAGAGGCTGCTCATTTGTGGCTGGCTGCTGCTTGGTGAAGAGCCACGCTGTTGGGAAAGCGTCAGGCTTATAGTTGTTTTTTTTCTTCGAAGGACTCCAGCTTCGCTGTGGGGCACACCGAGGAGGCCGCTTATGGATTTGTCATGTTCAGTCAGAAAGCGCCTGTGGGACAGTGCTGTGACCAGGGACGGTTGTTTCAACCGTAGCAGGTTACATGCGCGGGGAAGATCCTCTTAAAGCAATCCTTCGGCACTGTTGGCCAAAGGCCGAAGTAGTAGAACGGAAGGTCTGTAGGTGAACGTGCTTTGTGTTCCTTTCACGATGTTCATGTTCAACCTAGCCTGTTTCTTCTTTGGCCAACAGTGCATCAAGCGAGTCCGGTTCAGTTCAACCACCGAGTCCAGATCATCGGTGTAAGTTCGGAACACATCACCCTGGGGTGGATGGTCTAGGGACTCTTAGCCGAAGGGATGTGTCCCGTCAAAAAATCCAGCCACGACCGCAAGAGTCGCAAGCAATTATGTATCTATTTGTTGGTCAAGGCGTTTTTTGCTCATCCAAAGTTATAAAGTTCCTGGCGATGGGGTGCCGCCTGCAGCTATCAGAGTTCTCAGAGTGTCTTTTTTCTCCGCGTGATGGGCCGCAGCACGTCAGATGGAAAACGCGCGCGTGCGACCTCAGGCATGATGAGGAAGCTGATCGCTTCAAAGGCTCTGCCCTTGCCAGTCGTTCAGGGTTTGCGTTGTTTTGGAAGGGGCCCAGGCTGCCCAGGTTGACATACCAAAAGAACATTTACTGCAATATACTTTATACTGTAAATCGTATATTCGCCGCGTTTTTTCATCACCTCGCTCGTGGGGTCGAGAAGACTTTGAGACATCATCGGCATCTAGAGTGTGGTAATTGCCGAAGCCTTCGTGCCCAGACTCCGCGAGCCTCCTGCAGACCTTGAAAGTCGTAGTCCACCCGAAAACGAAGCGGTGTGCCACCTGCACACCCACCCAGTGCGCCCAATGTGCCCCCTGCACGAAGAGTGGCCGATCTGCAAGGCGGGTCTGAAGGACTGGATTTGCTACATCGGCGGCTGGTGAAGATTCATGCTGACGACGCTTGGCGTTTTGGCCCCACAGGAAACCCTCCATGGGCCTGGGGTTACAATGCGCGCCAGCAATTGCAAGGTATGCTCCTGGTCGGTCTTCCAGGCTAGAATGTCAGAATATTAGATCCTATACTAAGTGGATACTGGATACATCACCAACTATCCCTCCTCGTGCCATCCCTCCTCGTGGGCCCAGCGACGCTCGCTTCGCACTTGCACCGCCCGAGGAGCTGGTCATCAGTTCCGTGAAGGAGCGCTTCCTCCGTACGGGCGGCCGAGCCGTCCCAGATCGAGCCGGTCCGTCGTTCGAGCCGGTCCGTCGTTCTCCGCTGAAGCACCGCCAGGGTCACGGGGCGTCACCCGTCATGGCACCGTGACCCTGGGTCACGTCGAACAGGTCGGAATCGCTTGGAGATGTTTCATTGGTGCGTGGCAAGCTGAATGCGGTCACGGAGCCTGTACTTGGAGTCCCCATTGCATGCCGAATAGCCATTTCATGTGCAGCTAAAAGCCCTCGGCGAATCCATGCAGTTGGCGCCAGCGCGCCATGGCAACGGATGCTTTGGAATTGCGGGTGAGCGATGCACTGAAGCGGGCTCCTTTCGTGATTTTTTCGAAGGAGGCACCTGCATCATTGGACGACTTCTCCATGGATGATTCCTTTCAATATTTCTATTTTAATGATCTCATGCAGACACTCTCCGGACTTTCGCCATCCTTCCTGACGAATGGGAGGAACGCCAAGACGGACTTCCCTGAGGACTTTGAGGCTTACTTCTCGGATGACGTGGATGTGTGCAAGAGCTTCTTGCATCCTAAAATCAAGACACTTGACATTGATGAAAATAGAACCTTCCACTCTGTTCGGCTGACAGCCTCCTTGATGAGTTCTTTTTCGTGGTCCCCAGCCTTCATTCCTTTTTCATGGCCGTGTCAATTTCCTCTATGAAATGGGGGGGGTTAACCCCTGACATAAAACGTTTAATACCCCCCTCACTGGGCGGGTCAGGCCAGTCATTTTATAGTGATTGGAGGTTTTTGTGAGGGTGGTTCCTAAAGTCAATCAGTTTTTTAGTTAACATCTTAAAGATTTAGGCAGCTACATGCAGTTACTAAGGGGCAGCAAGATGAAAGAAGAAGCTTCTTATGGATCATGCCAAGTTGCTGCAATTGTTTGGTGACCGTGGCTCATATCAGAGCATCAACATTTTGACAAGGAGAACAAAAGAGCACTCAAAAGAGCTCCAAGACGTAGTAAAGAAGAAATGACGTTGGACCCCTCATTTTATAGTAACCTGAAATTTCCACTTGCACCATTTTATTCACACTGGGGGGTTGGCATAACCGTTTTATACCTATAAAATGGGGTGAAGGACCCCCCCCCCCGTTATTCACATGGCCATCCTTTTTCAGCCAGGACAAAACAGGAGCGGGGTCTCCAACTTGGAGGATGTCAGGTAAGCAGATGGAAGGCTTTTCTTCCAAGTCCACCACGTCCACCGATCCAAGGGTTCTGCAGCAAAAGGGTTCTGTGAATTTAGCCTCAAGACCCACCACACCTTCAGCCCCAGAAGATCACAATGGGAAGATGGTCATCAAAGGCAGAAGCACTTGGCTACAATGGCCAGCAGTGGTACAGGACATATTTTGGCTCTGATGTATTTTCATGTATGTTCATGTCATAGATACAGTTCGGCCGTGCATCGCATCCCATTCGAGGATCATTTTTGAACCCTGGCGAACTCCGTTGCGCAGCACTGTGCTGGCCACAAGAAAGACGGCAATGACATTTCAGGATCGAAGGTGAGTGCTACTTGTAGGATGGGCATGCAATGGCATGCAGGTGGACAGGCTCAATGGAGAACATTCCGGTTTCAACCCCTTCGAAGTCAATGCAGCAAGGTTTTGTCCATCATTCAGTATCACACACTGGGTCGCAGTGTCTCGCTACTGAGATCGGATTCCATCTCCATCGTTTTTGTGGAAAGCGACCTAATTTTATTTTGGCCCGCTACCGCGCAGAACTTTGATTGTTGTGAATGCAGCGGTTTCAGAGCAGTGATATAGATGGCACACATACACAGGCACAGACCACTGTAGATTGAGGTTCATACAATCAATTCCTGGGTTTTGTGCCATGATGAACTGATGAACCTGCTGTATTCTGTCGGCCTTCCCTTTGGAGGAGCTGCGGACTCCCGGATCGGTTTCTTTTGGACTCTGGACCCGGAGACCCCGCGGACGACTCGGCCGGATTCGGACTCGGTCGGATCGCTCGGACTCCAGGATCGGCTGTTTATGTTGGGCTGCTTCTCGCCAGTGGATGACATGGAGATGCTTGGCCAGCGGCACCGGCGGTCGAGCGGCTCGAGTCGAGCGGTTCTTTTTTTCTCCACCGGCGGATCCACCGGCGGATCCGGCGGTGTGGGTTGAAATACATTGAAATACGCTATTCCTGCTAAGTACTGCATGTGAGGAGATGCGTTTCTTTTTGCTGTTTGCTCAGAGTGTCGTGCTGCTGAGACGGAACTGTTCCTGAACGAACGGGCATGCAGGCCGCCAAGCCATGATGGGACCAAAGACAGGGCATGTTACATAGTAAGACACCAGTGGCCAGCAACGTTTCCTGGCCATCAGCTCTAAGGTGGCCCATTGAATGACAATTTTCCTCTACAACATCTACAACAGGTGGTTTTCAACTTCCATTGCTATTTCAAGGAGTGTAACTCAATAGTGACCCTACGTGTTGCTTCCAGGGCATGGCTTGGAGCAGATCATTGCCGTTGCTTCTGCAAGAAAGGCAACACTTCCAGACCTCACAATGCTGGGAAATAATAACTCTGAGAATCTCTGAGATCATGGAAGTATATCCTGACGGAGTATTGTAATTATTCCATCTCATTCCCCTCCTGCATGGCTTCTCTTCAGCTCGTCAGCCGCTTCGCAGTCCGCACCCTTCCCCGCCCTTCGCTCGCTTCGACGAGGACGACTCGTCACTCGTCGTCGAGAAAGGATGAGCTTCACCGACTTCTCGACGACGGTGTCCTTCCCTGAGCTGCCGGACCTGGGCCTCCCGGTGCCGTGGCAGCTGGCCGCCTTCGAGCAGCTCCCCAATGCCATGGCCATCCTCGATGGAGACCTCGTGGTCCAAAACCACCTGGCACGCGCCACCCGGTTGGTACCACCCTCGAAGGATTTTGCTTTCATGTAAAACTACCGTGTATGTAAACTAACTCCTTTGTTTCAGTGGTACAAGGTTATCTGCATCATAGTAAGCTTGCAACAAGCCATCCAAAGCCTGAAATTCCTGGGACTGGTCTTTGGCGAGACTGGGGTTCTACCCTCCTGGTGGTCGCTGGGGGCGCTGGTCTTCAAACCGACACTTTGCGCTCGAAGGCCTTGGGCACAGAGGTGCTCACCTTCATCATCGACCTGTGCCGTAGCTGTGAAGCCAGGAGCCCTCCCCACGGAACGCCGTCGAGGAGTCCGCGCTATTGGAACCTACAGCAAGCGGTACCAGGCCATGGCCCCATGCGCATTTGGTGGCTTGGAGGTTGATGCGTGGAAAATGTGTTTCCCTTTGGATGTGTGTTCAAAGAGGGCGGCCCTCCGTCGTTGTCTCTTTTTAAACTCTTGTTCGTCCTTTTTCTTCGTTCCCTGGCTTTAGGGGGCCTGTAACTGAAGATGTGCATCCAATTTACGTCAAATCATTGTGTTTTTTCCCCACCGGTCAGGCCCTGCCTTCTTCCCAAATCGCCTTTCAGGGTGGGGATCACTCGCTGTAGAGTACTGTAACTGGTCGATCTTTGCTGGAAGAATTCGGGCTGAAGGGACTGAGAGGGAGGGACTGAGACAGACCCATCCCCACAGTCAGTGGATCACCATGAAACACCTGCTCAACCTTTTCTTGAGATTTGGGGACACCATGGAACACCACTCCGATCACTCCAATCCAACAGATAGGGCATGCTAGGGCGGTCTGGCACTTGTCCGCCAGTCCCTCATTTCAGCACCCCTACATGTCCTTCGCGGCGAGTCCGTAGGCCTCGCACCGACGCACCCCGCCGGACCCCCACGATGAGCACCTTGGGATGACGTGTAGCATCCTGGGATTGCCCTGCTCGTTGGAAAGGTGGTGGCAGCCCACTGATGAGCCCTGGCGCTGTTTGGCTCTAAAGCCACTGGAGCCAGACGTCCTCGAACGTGCGCGCTTCGCCCGGCATGCGGAAAGCCGATGAGTCGAGGATCTGGTCCAACTGCAGGGTGTGAGAGACCGTGCGGCCTGGACCGTGCGATGCCAAGCCCGGACGGTGGAAAAAGGTCCGCATGAGTCTCAGCTTTGGGATCAAGATCATTCAAGAACACAGATCCACAACTTTTCAAGGATCCAGGGCTTAGTGCTGTCGGGCTCTCTCCAGTCCAGCCAAAGATCACTGGAAGCGAAAACTCAAGTCACAAAAGAGAGGCTCGCAACTTGGGACTGGCTGATTCGGACCAGAGTTGTACACCCTGAAGCTCTGCAGATATCGTATATAATGTCGATTACTAACTGTATTATCGTGATCGTGCTATGCCCGCATCTTTTCAGTGCAGTTGTTAACCCGGCTTGACGACCTTTTCTTCCTGGTGTGGCGTATGCTATGCCATGCTATGCAATATTGCCTGAACCTCGAACAATTGATACCAATAGACAGGTGGATTATGGATTGATAGAATTTGGTTGACTTTATGGACGACGAACCGCCGAGTGCATGTGATTTTCTATGATTTCTTGCCCAAGGCTGCGAGTTTCTAGCTGAATCTTTGCAAAGAAACATGGCTTGCAGAGCGCAACCTCGTTGTTGTTCAAGTAGTGAAAGGGCAGATTGATCCCACCTTTGCTTCTTCACTGCTTGTTGGGTACTCAAGACTGTACCAGGAGCTGTGCCACCGCTGCTCGGGGCCACCGGCGGGTGACACTGGGGACGCGGCGCCTAGCGGTGCCTGCGTCTTCGATGAGGAGCAGGCACTGAGCGGGGGGGCGATCCGGGCAGGCAGATCCACCGTGCCGGGGAGCGACCTGTTGAAGAAAAGGAGACGGCGGTGCGAGGAGTGAGTTGTAGCTAGAGAGAGGCGTCTCAAACAGCTGGCGGTGCAAAAACGCTGGAGCAGGTGGGAGAACATTGCTGTCGTAAAATGTCAGACACGTTAGGTGGAACCAGCGAGAGAGAGAGAGAGAGAGAGATATGGATTGTTGCCCGTAAGCGACCGCCCGCAAGCAATGGAGAGCACAGAGAGTACAGCTCTCTCAGGACAAGGAATTGGGCTGCATGGTGGAGAGTGTCAGGTATTTATTTGAAGAAACTCCTGGCTGGTCAGGTTGGATACTCAAGATGTCGACACAGACTCTTGAGTGCAGAGATGGGCTTCACTACAGGATCGTACAAATATACCTGTTAGACGACTACCTGTGCGTGGCAGCTGGTTGTCTTGGACTTCTGCGCGTGTTAAGAGAGAGGCACTACTCACGGACGAGGTCACGCGAGCGAGGACGGTCGAGTTCTTGAAGCTACGTTCGTTTGTTTCAGGAAACGCGGTTTCCCAATGGGAGTGGTGCAGACACTGACCCTCCACCTATGTTGCTTGCAGCGTTGAATGGCCACTTGAAAGTGGTGCGACTGTTCAATGGCAGCTGCTGGACCACCTCTGTCTCCATGCGTGGTCACGAAAGGAAACCACCAAGAAAAAATGTGGGGAGGGGAGAGTGAGCAATGGCAAGACAGACTCAACACTTAGAAAAGGGTAAGATGGCTACTGTAGGCATTCATTACTCTAAACTATGAAATAAGTTCGCAAGGCATCCCGAAGCCTAATTCCAATCCCCACCTAAGTGGACAGTCCAGGAAGCCCTTCTTTATACGGAGGCTTGGTGCAGAAAAGATATCTCAACGGCACGGATTTGGGCCCCGACTTCTGACGTCGAGAGGCTGCCGTGCTGGAAGTCGAGAACTGCAGCCGTGTTTCGAGCCGGAGCCGGAAGATGACGGATGCCACAGATGCTTGGAGAAGCGCCCAAGGGAGGGCGATGGTGGGCAGTGCTAGAAGCCACACCGGATGTTAGGGAAATGCACCATATTTGCAAGGTATTTGAGGGCTTTTCTTGGAGTGCGTTTTCTGTCATAGGACCCGTCTGTTCTTTCCAAGCGAAACGGCAAGGCAAGCATTGTAAAACCACCCTAAGGGTAAGCATGTCCAAATCAGCCTTTGAGGTGGTTCCAGAACAGTAAGGGTTGGTTTTCTTTGTGTAGTTTTCTTTAATGGTCTTTAATATTCTTTAATTGGACGCTGAGTCTTTTTCTCCCGGCGCTCGAGACGAAGGATGACTTTGTGAGCCTTCATGCCTTTGAGGGTGCGCAATGAGTGCATTAGGGTAATGAATGAACCGTGCGCAGCCAAAAGCTGTCGTGACACTAGGTGTCCGGCTCTTGAGATGGTCCATGATCTGATGCTGGATTGGTAGAGCTCGATCGAGCTAGGTCACCTTACCGGGCCCTATCAGAATGGAGAGTTTGTCACCTTACCGGGCCCTTGGTAAATGAGTTCTAACTATAGCTGCTGCATGCTGCTTTGCAGGCTCGGCCTTTGCCGAGACTCTGTTAGAAAACTTGTCATTGTAGATCCTTTTGCTATCCTTCTCGCGTAACAGCATATTACTGGCATTGGCAACGAATGGAATGAGAACACAGCGAGGAGGCCCCATGGCCGCCATGAGAGGAGGGCCCTCAACCCGGCTTTTTGGACATGTGCAGAGCAACCTCCTATTGAACCTATTATTTAGACAGAATGTGTAGTTTGTCACGTTATTTCTTCCATCCCCTTGTGCATGTCAGAAAGATGCAGATAGGAACCGGAGCTCAACTTGCTGGCTTTGCTTAAAAAGCCGTTGGCAGTGAAATTGATGTACATTAACAAAAACTATGCCAAATGTTCATGAGTTGGACAACGCTGTGCGTGTAATCAGTTCTGGTGTATGTCTTTCTGTCGACATTATTTTTTGGGATGACCCAATATTGTGGGTGATTATTAATATATATAATTATTTTGATTATTTTATATGGTAAATAAAAAATATTGGCCTTATAAAAATTATAAAATATATAATTATATAATATATATATTTTTTTAAAAAATAAATTATATATTTATTTATTTTGATAATATTTAATTTTTATTTTTATGTAATGGATGATTTTTATTATTTTTATATATAAAATATATGAAACCATAATAGATGGTATGTACACAAAATGATTTTGGCTAGAAAAAAAATTAAGGACATAATTATAATTGATATGTTGTTTATTAATTA